CCCTGGGAGCTGTTCTTGACGTTTTTTTGTTTGTTCAAGGCTAGCTCTACCACTTGAGCCATAGCTCTACTTAGGGCTTTTGTTGTTTTTTAGTAATTCACAGATTTCCCTGCCTGGGCTGGCTTCAAACTGCAATCTTCAACTCTACGCCTATAGGCATTAAAGGCATGAGACACGGTTACTTAGCGGTTTATTCTTTCTGTAGCATTTGTTTGTATTTTGTTTTTGTCTTGTTTAGACTATCATCTCCATGAAAATGTAAGTTCTACAATGGAAAAAATATGTCTGTTAATCGCCTACACTGGAATATAATTCTCTAATATAACACTCCAAGGGTTGGAGGAAGAGGATATTACAGGTCAATGGCAGAACACCTACCTGGAACACAAAAGGCACTGGGTTCAATTCCTAAAACTGTCAAAAAAACAACTGTAGGGCTGAGGACAGAGCTCAGTAGTAACCTTGAATTCTATCCCTAGCTCCACCAAAAAAAAGAAAAGAAAAGAAAGAAAAAAAGCATTCTAATATAAAGGGTCAGAGTAGATCAGTATGAGCATCAGTTCTCACCTTGTGTCAAACACACTAGTTATTAACTTCAGCTAAGAAAAAAAGTTGTTGGGCTAGGAAGGTGGTATAGTGTTTGCCTTGCATCTATGAGGCCCTGGGTTCGATTCCTCAGCACCACATAAGCAGAAAAAAACGGAGGTGGCACCATGGCTCAAGTGGTAAAGTGCTCGCCTTGAGCTGAAGAGCTGAGGGGACTGAACCTAGGCCCAGTGTTCGGACCTCACAACCAACAACAACAACAAAAAATAATATAAAACTAAATAAATAAATACTAAGGAGCATACACCTGATTTTTTTTTGGTCGGTCGTGGGGCCTGAACGCTGGGCCTCAAGAGCTGTCCCTCAGCTCTTCAGCTCAAGGTGAGCGCTCTACCACTTGAGCCACGACGCCACTTTCGATTTTTCTGAGTGATTTATTGGAGATAAGAGTCTCACGGAGCTTCCTGCCCAGGCTGGCTTTGAACCGTGATCCTCAGATCTCAGCCTCCTGAGTAGCTAGGATTACATGAGTGGGCCACTGACACCCGGCTTTTTTTTTTTTTTTTGGTTAGTCATGTAGCTTCAACTCAAGACCTGGCACCATCTCTAAGCTTTTGTGCGCAAGGCTAGCACTCTACTACTACTTCAAGCCACAGCTCCAATCCTGGTTTTCTGGTAGTTAATTGGAGAGAACAGTCTTATGGACTATCCTGCCTTTGCACCATGATCCTCAGATCTCAGCCTCCTGAGTAGCTAGGATTACAGGCATAAGCTATCAACACCCAGCCACACAACTAATTTTTAAAAGCTCAATTTTTAATCTACGAGAAGGTAAGCTGCTTAATTGTATCTTGTATGGAATGAAAAAAACACACACACCAAGCTTCCTGTTTGGCAACACCCCCCCCCTCCCCACACACACCCAAGGCTCTATTAACACTACACACACACAGCCCAGGTTGATCTTAAATCCATAAGCCTGAGTGATCCTTTCACCTCAAACCGCTGAATAAAGGTGAGAGTAAAGGTGAGCACCACTGTGCCTGACTTAACCACTAGATTTCTTTCTTTCTTTTTGTCGGTCATGGGGCTTGAACTCTGGGCTTGGGCGCTATCCCTCCGCTCTTCAGTTCAAGGTTAGCACTCTACCGCTTGAGCCACAGCGCCACTTACTTAACCATTAGCTTTCTATAAAAAGTTAATACTGCCGGGTGCTGGTGACTCACACCTGTAATCCTAGCTACACAGGAGGCTGAGATCTGAGGATCACGGTTCAAAGCCAGCCTAGGCAGGAAAGTCCATGAGACTCTTATCTCCAATAAACTACTCAGAGAACCAGAAGTGACTCAGTGGCTCAAGTGGTAGAGTGCTTGCCTTGTATGCATGAGGCCCTGGGTTCCATTCCTTAGCACCACATAAGCAGACAAAGACGGAAGTGGTGTTGTGGCTCAAGTGGTAGAGCACTAGCCTTGAGCTGAAGAGCTGAGGGACAGCCCCCAGGTCCAGAGTTCAGGCCCCACGAATGGAAAAAAAAGAAAAAAGAAAAAAATATGCAGTACAACAAAGTAAATCCTGTCAAGATCCAACTCAACCAACACTGTGATCATCTTTAGATACCAGGGAAAATGAAAACCAGCAACATGTCTGGGGCAGAGAGCAGAGACTGAGCAGAAACAAGTAAAGCTGAATACGAGGGAGAGGGTCAGGGAAAAGTCTTATTATTTGTGAGCAGACCAAGAACAGGATTTCAATAGGTGAAGAGAGAGGTAGAGCGAAGCAATCAATGAAAAGGGAACACCCCTGAAAAAGTAAAGGTATAAGTAAAGATGGTTACCAGGGAGTAAGTGGCCTGTTTAGTAGAACTGCACTGACGATGAGGGAACAAAGACAAACAATTACAAGTGGTATCAGAGAAGAGATATGTAAGGAAAATTTAGATTTGTGGACAGTGGAAAGCCACTGCAGGATATTCCTTTTTCTCCCTCTAAAAGAAATCAAGCCAACTCAAAGTACCTGTCACCAGACAAAAGCACTTGTCTTGCATACAGCACAGCTTAATAAAGGTCTGAAATTAATTATGTAATCCACTTTTACAAATTAGAGACAATTTAGTTAAACACATTACCAATTCACTTACAGTTGGTTCTAAAGATCTACCCAACCCCTAGCACTGGAATTACACTGTGTTCAAAGTTAACTGCATCTACCAGCATTTATTAAAACTTGTCAAGTTTCACTAATCAGATTCTTGGAGTCATGATCTTTGTTATATAGAATTTTATTCATAACGTTTTCTTGGCTCATTAAAGTCTATTTAGTGCAGCAAGTAATTTCAGTCATTATACTATCACAGCTTAAGTTTCACTAATCAGATTCTTGGAGTCATGATCTTTATTATATAGAATTTTATTTATAACGTTTTCTCTGCTCATTAAAGTCTATTTAGTGCAGCAAGTAATCTTAGTCATTATACTATCACAACTTTTTTTCTTCACTCCACCCTACTGAATGAAGCAACTCATATTTTTAGCAACCTTAATTAATTACAATAGCTTATGTTTAAAGTTCAAAATAATACTTCATTAGGAATTCCATAAAATCAGAAATATCCTATGAACAACCCACATCAACCCTGAATCCTTCTAAAATAGGAATTTAAGCCAAGAGCAGGTGGCTTACATCTGTAATCACAGCTACTCAGGAGGCCAAAATCTGAGGATCACTATTCAAAGACAGCCAGGGCAGTAAAGTCTGTGAGATTCTTATATTTAATTAACCAGCAAAAAGCCAGAAGTGGAACTACAACTCAAATGGTAGAGTACCAGCTTTGCATGGAAAAAGCTAAGGAACAGTGTCAGGCCCTGAGTTCTAGCCTCAGTACCAGCATCCAAAAGAGTTTTAAGAAATAAACTTGGCAGTGAAATATTTTAAGATATTTTAAACTTTTTCAAATGTAAAAATTCTAGTTATTAAAAAAATCTTAAATTTTCAATTCAAACTTGTTATCATTTAAATAAATCTGATAGGGGCTGGGAAGGTGGCTCAGTGGTAGAGCGCTTGCCTTGCATGCATGAAGCCCTGGGTTTGATTCCTCAGCACCACATAAGAAAAAAGAAAAAAGCCGGAAGTGGCGTTGTGGCTCAAGTGGTAGAGCGCTAGCCTTGAGCTGAAGAGTTGTGGGACAGCGCCCAGGCCCAGAGTTCAGGCCCCACGACCAGACAAAAAAAAAATCTGATAAAATATTCGCTGAGGCAAATTAACACATAATCAAATAAAATAATGCATTTGACTTGGGAAAAGGAATGTTGTCACTTTGGTTTTATGCCTTTTTGGGGAGGTACTGGTTCTGGGGCTTTGAACCCATGGTCTGGGTGCTGTCCCTGAGGTTTTGTGTTCAACACTTGAACCACAGTTCCACTTCTTGCATTTTGATGGGTTAACTGGAGATAAAATTTTACAGACATTCCTACCAGGGCTGGCTTCAAACTGAGATGCTCAGTTCACAGCCTCTTGAGTAGCAAGGATTACAGGCACCAGTCACCAGATCCAACTTGTTTCAGTTTTTTGAGACAGTCTCCTTGTATTTTAGGCTGGCTTCAAACCTTCTTGCCACAGCCTCTGGAGTGCTGAGGTTACAGATGTATACCCCCAAGCCTAGCTTAACTTTGGGTTAACTTTTAATTATGTTAAACTACTAGACTAATATGCAAAGTATATTTAAAACTGAACTGGTATAGAATTAAGTACCATTCCACCTTGTCAATTAACCATACTACCTCTAGTGCACCTAGGGGGAGGGGAGATACATATTTTCCTTAAAATGTCCTCACTATAGCAAGGCACTTTCTCTTTTCTTTGCAATTAAACGATCCACTTTGAAATTAAAAGAGGTGTTGCTTCAAATTTGCCATCAGAATATCAATATATAGTTCTGGTACTCCAATGAAAGATTTTTGTTTCTAAACGCTAAGGCACTTTCATTTTGGCTATTGTTGGAAAGTCTGCAGCCCAGTTCTTAAAACCTGCAGTTGAGAGATCTGAAGGGGATCCAAAACCCTTAAATAATGTTCAAACTTGTGAATGTGAATTTTTGAGGGGCTGGGAAGGAGACATGCCACGACTGTCTTCGGAGTCTCAAAGTCTATGATCCAAAAGATAGTTGAAAAAAAAAAAAAAAGCCTTTGCATTAGTATTATGGCAAAGTGACAAAAGGCAAAAAAAGCGTCCGACTGAACGATGCAACCATCGTCAATATTTTTTTAAAGCATACTCTCATCCAGTGACCCAGATCCTGACATTAACCTTCTCTTAATAAGGCCTTTTGGTTGGGAATGGGGAAAATGGATTCAATTCTCCCCCCAGCTCACCCCCTGGTCTTCAACCAACCCCATTCGCGGCCCTCCTCCGCGGCTGGGCAGGTTGTACACCCTAGAAGGGCAGGGGTTCGCGCGTACCTGGGCGCTGGCTCGATCAGGGTGGTGGTGTCCAGGTAGTGGATCTTGTAGAACTCCAGCAAGGCCGGCAAATGGTCAAACTCCTGGTCTCCGATCTTAAAACGGCGGTTGGGCAGGGAGTTGATGATGTAGTGGGAGACACGAGAGTTCTCGGACACCGATAGCACATAGTCTCCAGGGCAGGTGGAGGAGTCCCGGACTAGGAACATTCCGTGGCGCTGGCCCTGGAGCCTAGTCTGCGCCTCCTGGCGAGACACCGGCCCCATGTACCAAGCCGAGCGGTCTGAGGAGTCGAACCTGGCGGAGGACATGGTGTTGGGCCGGGGAGGGGGCTCGGCGGCGGGTCTGGGCGGCGATTGCTCTTGCCTGTCTGGAAGCCTTTGCCGGCAGGCGGCTCGGGTGCCGAGAACGGGCCTCTTCACACCCCTCGAGGAGAACTTAGCGAGCTGGGCCGGGACCTTCCTCTCGGCTCCGGGTCCGCAGCATCCTCTGCTGCCGCCCGCCTGCTCCGGGAGCTCCTCGCGGACAGAGTCGGCCCGGGGAAAGAGGGACAGGACCCTGGGGTCGGGGTAGACGAAGCGCAGCCGTAAACGGAGGCCGCCCGGGGGTTCTTGGGCTGCCCAGAATACCGGAGGTGGCTTTAGTGACTCCCGGCCTGGAATGTACAAGCTCCGCAGCCCCAAAGGTCTGCACTGACCCTCGTCGTCACACGAAAGCACCAAACTGCAAGAAACGCAGAGACCCCGAGGCAGTTTTGCCAAGCCCGCTCGCAATAGCCACAGCAACAAAATGGCGGACGTGGGAGAAGCCGCCGGCCACCTCCCACTCCGCTCAGCGCTCTTCGACTGCGCACGCGCGAAGTCGCAGCTCCCAGAGGCTGACGGGGCCCTCCCCGTGACGTCTCTCATCATAGCCAATCAGAAGCGCGGAGGCGAGGAACAGGGGCGTGAGGCACGGGCGCACGCTCCCGCGTTCCGGGAGGAGGTCGAGTAGGCAGTGGTGGCGGGCACTCCCTTCCTGGACCACGGTACGCCGCCGGGGGCGCTGCGGCCGCCTGGTGTTCTAGTGTTGGCAAGAAAACAGCTGGAGCCGAGAGGGAGCGGCGTTTCGAAAACCTACTTCTGGGAACAAAGCATAACGTGCTTGGCTGAATCGCCAGGCAAGAGGCGTGGTTCTGACCTGGCCTGCCCAGGGGCTGGAGACTCAGGGCGGACTGGACCTGATGAGCCCTCTGGAAGGAGATGACCCCGTAGCGGGGAATAGGTTGCCAGAAATGACACACGCCCTAGGTAGCCTAAGGGATCTTGGGTGGCTGGGAGACCCTGATGCCTCTCGGTGGGGAGGCAAAAATTGGATCCACTGGATTAAGTGGTCTTGGAAGACTACGGTCCAGTACAATCCGACCATCATGGGTTCTATTGCTACCAAAAAATGTAAATGTCTCTCAAGCATGGCACGAGGACTTGACTTGTTCCGGATTCTACCTGTTTCTCTAGTTAATTTCTTCCCATTCCCTTTTGCTTACTCAGATCTAGCCCTGCCCTCCTATTCTACTTCCTCCATCCGCACTACAATGTAAATTTTAAGAAGCCAGAGATCCTGTCTGCCTGGTTCACCTGTGTCTTGTCTGCCTTGCAGTTGCTTGAATGCTCAGATATTTGTTGGTTAAATGACTGTTGTGAAAAATCACCAGGCCATTGATGCTCCATTATTAATGTTAACATTCCTGAATTGTACTGACAAGAAAGTATATCTCCCACGGGGCACCCATGGCTAATGTCTGTAATCCTAGCTTCTCAGGAGCATGATATCTGAGGATAAGTTCAAAGCCAGATGAAGTAGAAGAATTCATATAAAATGTTATTTTAAAAAATAGACTTGGAAGCCGGGCACTGGTGCCTCATGCCTGTAATCCTAGCTACTCAGGAGGCTGAGATCTGAGGATCACGGTTCAAAGTCAGCCCGGGCAGGAGAGACCGTGAGACTCCTATCTCCAATAAACCACCAGAAAACCGGAAGTGGTGCTGTAGCTCAAGTGGTAGAGCGCTTGCCTTGAGCTGAAGAGCTGAGGGACAGTGCCCAGGCCCAGAGTTCAAGCCCCACGACCAACCAAAAAAAAAAAGACTTGGCTGGGCACCAGTGACTCACACCTGTAATCCTAGCTACTCAGGAGGCTGAAGTCTGAGGATGACTGTTCAAAGTCAGCCGGGGCAGAAATGTCCTGGAGACATTCTTATCCCCATAAACAACTCAAAAAGGCAAGAAGCAAAGCTGTCTGTGTGTTATCTGTGTGTCAGTGTCTGTGTGTCTGTATATACACATCCTTGGGCCAGGTGCTAGTGGTTCATGCCTGTAATCTTAGCTACTCAGGAGGCTGAGATCTGAGGATCGCTATTTGAAGCCAGTACAGGCAGGAAAGTCCTAGAGACTTAACACCAGTTAATCACCAGAAAACCAGAATTGGCACTGTGGCTCAAAGTGGCAGAGTGTTAGCCTTGAGCAAAAAGGCTCAGGGCCTGAGTTCAGCATCCAGGCCCTGTGTTCAAGCCTCCCAGCTGACATAAATAAATAAATAAAATTATGCATGTAATATATTTTTGGGGGAGAGAAGGTAAAAAACTCAAAAATATATACTTGGGGAGGATGATGGAAGTGATAAAACTGATCAAAATGGGGCTGGGAATGTGGCTTACTGGTAGAGTGCTTGCCTACAATGCATGAAGCCCTGGGTTCAATTTCTCAGTACCACATAAACAGAAAAAGCCAGAGGTGGTGCTGTGGCTCAAGTGGTAGAGTGCTAGCCTTGAGCACAAGAAGCTCAGGGACAGTGCCCAGGCCCTGAGTTCAAGTCCCAGGATTGGCAAAAAGAAAAGAAAAAAAACTGATCAAAATGCATTGTAGATATAAATGGATATGTGAATTGAAACCCCTTTGAACTACTATTTAAAAACAAAAATTTAGGGGCTGGGAAAGTGGCTCAGTGGTAGAGTGCTTGCCTTGCATGCTTGAGGCCCAGGGTTTGATTCCTCAGCACCACATAAGCAAAAAAACCTGGAAGTGGCGCTGTGGCTCAAGAGATAGAGTGTTCGCCTTGAGCTGAAGAGCTGAGGGACAGTCCCCAGGTCCAGAGTTCAGGTCCCACCACCGGGGAAAAAAAAAAAGAAAAAAAATTAGCTGGGCAACAGTGGCTCATGCCTGTAATTTACTCAGGAGGCTGAGATCTGTGGATCACAGTTCAAAGCCAACCTGAACAGAAAGGCTGTGAAACCTTCAACTCCAATAACCACTAGAAAACCAGAAGTGGTGCTGTGGCCCAAGCGGTAGTGTGCTAGACTTGATCTGAAGAGCTGAAGGATAGCGCTCAGGCCCAGAGTACAAGCCCCATGACCAACCAAAAACAAAAAAAGATTCTTTTCTTAAAAGGCCAAATGCTACCAGTGATTCTATCTATAACTCTAGCTACCTAAGAGGCTGCCATTTGAGGACTGTTCAATGCAGCCCCAATAGACAAATCCATATATGTGTGTGTGTGTGTGTGTGTGTATGTGTATATATAGATAGGTCTATATATGTATATATAGATATATACATCTGTATAGATACATATATGTATCTGTATACATATATATGTATATCTATATATACATATAGAATATATGTATATCTATATGTATATATATGTATATCTATATATAGATATACATATGTATATAGATATACATATGTATATAGATATACATATATCTCTATATATAAATGTGTATATCTATATATACATATATAGAGCTATATACATGTATAGATTGAATATTCAGGAGGCTGAAATCCCAAGGATCAAACTTTGAATGAGGTTTGGACAGAAAAGTTCTCAAGACTCTATCTCCAATTAACACAAAGATAGGCTGGAGATGTGGCTTAAATTGTAAAACAAGGACCGTGAGCAAATAAGCCAAGGCCCTAAATTCATGTCCAGGTACTGGCATAAGTAACATAAAAACCCCTAAGATTTATTAATCCCATATCTCCTTCTTGGTTCATTCAATCTTTCATTTGTATCATTTTTTCATTTAATTGATATTTTCCTTTTTTTTTTTGATCCGGTTGTGAGGCCTGAACTCTGGGCCTGGGCGCTGTCCCTCAGCTCTTCAGCTCAAGGCTAGCGCTCTACCACTTGAGCCACAGCACCACTTCTGGCTTTCTTCTTTCTGCTTATGTGGTGCTGAGGAATCGAACCCAGGGCCTCATGCATGCAAGGCAAGCGCTCTACCACTGAACCACCTTCCCAGCCTTATTTTCCTAATTTTTAAACTCAAAATCTGAGTCACCTTTTACTTAATTGAAGAATTTAATAGTAATATCTAATTTACATATTATACCAAATCAATTTTAACTCAATACAAGGGTCATATTATGAACTTGATTAATAGATAATCCACAAGCTCAGGAGGTCAGTGATTTCCAGTTACAAAATTTGTAAGGAGGCAATTCTTGGAATCTTTTTCTTTGTGTGTGTGTGCTGGTACTGAGGCTGGAATTCAGATTGTTTTGCTCACAGCTGGTATTCTACAACTTAAACCAGGCCTCTACTTCCAGCTAGTTAATTGGAGATGAATCTCTTGAATTTGTGTGCTACAGCTGACTTCAAATCTTTTTTTTTTTTTTTTTGCCCATCCTGGGACTTGAACTCGGGGCCGGGTGCTGTCCCAAGCCTCTTGGTGTTCAAGTTTAGCACTCTACCATTTGGGCCACAGTCACTTCTAGCTTTTTCTGAGTGTTTTATTGGCGATAAGAGTCTCATGGGCTGTTCTGCCCGGGCTGCCTTTGAACCCTGCTTCTCAGATCTCAGCCTCCTGAGTAGCTAGGATTACAGGCGTGAGCCACCAGCACCTGGCATGGCTTCAAATCTTGATCCTCAGATCCCAGTCTCCTCAGTAGCTAGGATCATAGGCATGAGCCACTAGCACAGAACAATTCTTTCCATTTTACATTAGGCCTTTATATTTGAGATCAAACTCCTGTATTTTACTGTGACACATGATTTCATTTCTTTCTTTTTTTTTTTTGGGTCTGGTCATGGGGCCTGAACTCTGGACCTGGCGCTCTCCCTCAGCTCTTCAGCTCAAGGCTAGCGCTCTACCACTTGAGCCACAGCGCCACTTACGGCTTTTTTCTTTTTGCTTATGTGGTGCTGAGGAATTGAACCCAGGGCCTCATGCATGCAAGGCAAGCGCTCTACCACTGAGCCACCTTTCCAGCCCCGTGACACATGAATTCAGAGTGCTTGGTTTATATCCTTTGTTTTGCAGACAGGAAAACTCAGGCAAGCCTTCAGAGTAATTTTTTGGGTACACAAGTTTTAACTCACAGTTTTGCAATAATGCTTTCTTCCCCCTTCAAATCAAATTCTAGTTTCTGAAAGGAATATCAGTCAGGAAATAAGATGGAAAGATTTGCTCCTTAGGTTGAATTTCAGAAAATGCCACCAATCTGCTGCCTAACTTCCATGTTTCCTTAAGAACTTTATTGAGGGGCTTGGAATGTGGCTTAGTGGTAGACGGCTAGTCTAGCATGCATGAAGCCCTGGATTCAATTGCTGAGTTCCACATAAACAGAAAAAGCCGGAAGTGTCCTGGCTCAAGTGGTAGAGCATTAGCCTTCAACACAGAGAGGCTCATGGACAGAGCCCAGGCCCTGAGTGCAAGCCCCAGGACTGGCAAAATGAAAAAAATTATGGAGGATGAGGCATAGCTTTAAGTGGTAGAGCACCTGCCTAGCAAGCACAAAAACCTGGAATTTAAACCCCAATACCATCAACAACAAGAATAAAAATT